CATGTATGTGTATATTCTGTTTGTCCATCATCCTAATCTCAAGAAATATAACAGAGGAAGCTTAGAGAAGGGAGATAAGGCCTACCACAAGATAAAAACCAAAAAAATGCTTGTTACTTATACAAGAACTGGGAGGAGATAGATCTGACTTAATTCTATTTCTGGTAATAACAGTGATTCCCCCCCACCCCACCCCCCCTCTCCTCCCTTCTTTTTCTGGCCTCCAAAATAAGTAGCTGTCCTTGGTAGAAAGAAAAATCCAGTCGGATGAAATCCAGATCCATTCTTCTCCTTGTTTGCAAGAGTGATCTGCTGCCTGGGCCTCTCCATTTGCTTCTATTTGCATTAGTATAATAAGGGGGATGAGAAAGTGGAGGAACAATCTCTGACCTTCAAAGTTCCCCATAACTTGACAAATTATTCTGTTACAAACAGCTAGTATCGACAGGACAGCGTTAGCCCTCTGATCTTCCCAAACATTTTACATGGAATCTGTATTACTGTTTCTACAGAAAAGAGTTTGACACTCAGAGAGTTCAGGTGAGTGGCACTACCAGAAGTAGGCACAGCAGAACCAGAACCCTACCTGTTTGGAGACCTACAATTGAGAATTTCCAGGCGGTGGTGGCGCGCACCTTTAATCTTGGCACACGGGAGGCAGAGGAAGGTGGATTTCTGTGAGTTGGAGACCAGCCTGGTCTACAAGAGCTAGTTCCAGGACAGCCTCCAAAACCACAGAGAAACCCTGTCTCAAAAAACCAGAGAGAGAGAGACAGAGACATAGACAGAGACAGAGACTGAAAATTTCCCTCTTGGGAAAGGACAATGGATCATCCAGCATAAGATTTCTTTCTTTCTTTCTTTCTTTTTTTTAATTTCGATAGTTTCAGTTTATTCCCTCCCAAAAGACCAACCACAATCAAATGAGGTGAGTTTCTTTTATTGTCTTCATAACAAGATCAGCTTAGAATTGGATCACTTGGCCCTTTCTCTTCTTATCACCTCCCAGTTCAAAATGCTTGCATCTCTTAATAGCCAGCATCTGCTTAGATCTGCAATTAGGCTCAACACACTCAAGCCTCAGCACAATCTTCTTTGTAATTTTAGCCTTTTTTTGGAAAATGGGCTTAGTCTGCCCACCATATCCACTCTGTTTCCTGTCATAACGCCACTTTCCCTGGGCATACAAAGAGTCCTTGCCCTTCTTGTACTGCGTCACTTTATGGGGCTGGTGCTTGCCACATTTCTTGCAGAACGTCCGGTGGGTCTTAGGAACATTCACCAGGTTGGCGGGAGCAATATTGGCACCCAGCATAAGATTTCTAATCCAGCATAGGGTAGTGTCTTGTAGGGAGGAAAGGGGAGTATGTGGCCTTTTAAGTTTGAGAATTCATTGGGAATTCGTTTTAGAACTTAGTTTGCTTGTTTCACTTGGATGTTTTTCATTGTTTGGTTCTAAGGTGGGCCAGGGTCAATGGAGGGACTTAACTAGTCAGATGTTATTAGGAAACAGTGGGGTGGGGTTAGTGCCCTTCCTGAGATGCCTCCATGGAATGGAGAAACAAGAGGATGAAGACAGATACATCAAGAAAGATGTATGCCTTTAACAAAGACGCTCCCAGGAATACTCCTTGGGTAAAGTGATTGCAGTGCACAGGGGTGTCCACATGTGGCTCCAAGATATTCTTTGGGGCTTTGAGAGATTAAACTATTTTTATAATAACGTTTTGCTTTTCAGTAGCTTGATGTTTGCATTTGTTACAAAAAATGCTGGGCAAAATAGTTGATGCCTTAACACACATCAAAGGAGGCAGCACCAAATGATGCCATCACCTCATACACTTAAAAAAACTTTAGTGCTATTTAGCTAAAGAATATTATTGATAAAGTGGTTAAAAAGTCTTACCAAATCTTAGACCTTCAAGGTCCATCTTTTTATGTATGGTGAAAAAAGATGAAGGCATAAATGGACCTCTCAAGGAAAAACATTTGTTCAGTTATCTGACTTGCCAAAGTGAGGCTGTCACTACTGGGAAGCTAGAGAGCCCTTCCAAGCCAAACCCCAAATGGGGAAACTATTCCCCACCACCAGCTCCACAGCTTCCCAGGATGAAAGAGGTCCACGGTGACATATCCGAATGTGAACTTCTGCCATCGCAAATGAACTGTCCCAGCATTCAGGGTGTTTGCATAATTCAATGGACAGATGACCAGCACAATGCAAAACTGTATATGGATAGGAGTTCCACCAAAACACAAAATACAAAGGGCTAATCCATGGGCAGAGTTCTTGCCTAACATGCTCAAGGCCCTGGGTTTGATCCCCAACCCTGAGGGGAAAGCCACACAATGCAGTTTGCTTGAACAATAGACACAAAGGCTTTTGATAAGGTTTCAGGCTATACAAAATAGCTGGCTCCTAAGAAACTACCACTTACTGAGTGAGTTTCAAAGCATAATATTGTAATAACTTGCCCCCTTTCAACTGTATAGTGATATCAGTCTAGATTTTCTTCAAATATCTCAATAAAAATGATGTTTTACAACACATGAGCTGCAAAAGCAGATAGATATGAGCATCCAACCATCCTCAAGACAGAGGTGAAGGAGATTTAAAGAATGTAAACCAGGACAGGAGAGGTGGTACATCCTGTAATCCCAATTTGGGGGTCAGAGGCATATTCAAAGTCATATTCCAAAGTGAGTTTGAGGCCAGCCTGGGCTACTTGAGACCCTGTCTCAAGACCTGTTACTCCTTTGGTGTTCTACATGGCGTCTGGGTCTGGTGTGCTCTCTCCACCCACTTCTCCCAGAGTCCTCCTTGTCCTAGTCCTGCCTATCTTCCTGCCTCATTGGTCAAATAGTGTTTTATTTATCAACCAATAAGAGAAACATATATACAGAAGGACATCCCCCATCAGATGGGGTGGTGGTGCTCAGCAATTTTAAGTATTATGGCATCTCAAGAACTGCTTGAGAATAGCTAGAGGAGTCACAAGGAGAAAGAGAAGACATGCTTTGTGCCGCAGGTACTCAACAGTTAAATGTAACAATAAGGACATGAAAACCAATGTGACTAACACTCTAAGGCAGGAAGTAAAAGTGTCAAGTCAGTGGCCTTTACCTTTGCTGTCCAGGACGGTAGCCACTAGCCACCAGGGACTTTTAGACACTTGAAAGAAATGCAGTCCCAACTGAGAGTTACACATCTTTAGTTGTTCAACGTGAAGGAACACTGAGTAGCCAATGTAAGAATATAAGTTTTTACATTGATTATATCCAGAAAGGCTAATACTTTGTAGATATTAGGCGATTTGTGCTATGGAAGCCGGTTTTACCTATTTCTCCTATTTAATCATGGCTGGGCCTGGGGAAATGGTTTTGTGGGTAAAACACTTGCATGTAAGTATGGAGACTTGAGTTTGGATCTCCGGAACCCATGTGAAGCTGGACAGGAAGAGGCAGGGGAACCCCTAGCAGCTTTCAGGCTGCCTGGGCTGGCTGACTTGGTGGCAGCGGTAGACCCACGAACAGGTTACAAGGCAAGGACAGACACTGCCCCTTGTTCTCTGACTCTCACCTGGCCTGCACACACACCCACAGCCTGGAATTAAGGGGGGCGGAGAGGGAGGGAGGAAGAGAGAGACAGAGAATAACATGAGGTAGACCCAAAAAATCCAAAGATGAATTCTGTTTCTCTCAGACACTGGTGGTTTGGAAAGAAGAATAACTGATATTCAAAGCAGGAAAGAGTACTGTGAACTTGGGGCATTGTTGAAGTCTTCACAAAGACTGGGATTTCACTGTGTGGCTGGAGCCCAGATGCAGGGAGGGGATCATGGGTAGTGAATGATGACAGTGCCAAACAGGATCCTCTGAGTTGCACCAATCTGCTCCTGGGAGAGAGAAATTTTTCCTGGGTAGGTTGGGGCCAAACTAAACTGCATTTGGGTGCCAAGAATATGGCCTTGTAGGTGTGTAAGCAGAGAATGATTCTGAAAAAGACAACTCAGAGTTCTCTAGCAGTCTATGGATTGCCTGAAGTAGGGCTTTATTCATGTGGGAACTGAACAACACAGGTTTCTAGAATCTTCCCTGTGGCCAAGCAGTCATGATCTGGCCTTCCTGAGCCATAAATGTACAAAGTTGACTACAGTGTTGGTTGACACATGGTGTGGAGTGGGTACATTTACGATATTTTGTCACTTGGGAGAGAAGGATCCAGGTGTGATCTTTGTGAGTGTGCCACATGCTTTTTGCCTCGGAATTCTACCTTAGACACACGTGTGTCCAGACAGGGCATGGTTTTCTACCTTGTAGTCTGCTCATTTATTTTGCTGAACCCTTGTAGACCGGTTTAAGGTATTAATATCTAAGGTGATGGATGGCTCAGTGGCTACACTCCTGTGTAACTTTCCTCGCTGCCCATATAACTTTCCTCAGGGTCTTCAGACAGAAAATAAGGTTTAGAACCAAATGGGATCGAGGTTCCACCCAGCTCCATGATTCTAGAACAGGCTCATGTCACAAAGCACACACCATAGTTACCAGGACAAGGTTACTTAGAGTGGGAGGGAGCTGGCCAGAGAGGGCAAATCCTGGGAACCTTCACAGGAGTTGGCCCAAACCTCTGAGGGAGGCTGGTCTCTCATAGGCGAGCAGACTTGTCTGAGGTTAGTGTGTTGGTCCTGGTTGCCCAGCCCTCCCATTCCAGGGCTGGCTCACCAGAAAGAGTGAGGTTTTGTTTGAGAAAGCAGGGATCCCAGGCCCTTAGTTTGGGGGCAGAGGATCTCTTCTTGCCTGGGAAAGACTGAAAAAAAAAAAAAAAACCAAAAGCGTGTAGCCCTTATTCGAAAATTTCTGGTTCTCTTGGGCTGTTCGCATTTGTGAGAGTGGCTGCTAGGGACGGGCAGTGCTCTCTGCAAGGGGGCTTCAGCCTGACTTTGTAAAGCATTTCTAGAACAGAGTGGGTGGGAAGCAACTAGAGTCCCAGAAACACTGACGCACAGGAAAGTCAAGTGGGTGGAGAAATGCAAATCCCCTAGTGGCATGGCGTCAGCGGCTGTGGACCCTGAAGTCAGATTCTGACTTTAGACTGGAGCAGTAGCAGCAACTGGACAGAGGGAGAGCCAGGTAAGCCGGACAGCCAGCATCGGGTTGCGTGTGGCCTCTTTGCGAGAGGAAGAGCTGCTCTAGGCAGTTGGAATTGTGTTGCTTGTTTGAACGTGCCCGGGGAGGGGTGCCTGTGAAAAGAAGGGACTTACTTTTTGCACTCAAATCACTCACTGAAACCATCTTCCAAAGAGCTGACTTTCTGGCGCGGATCTTCCTGGAGGAAAGGGAAGCCGAGGCATCCTGAAGCTGAGCCACCGGTGGGATAGGGGCTGTGGCTGCGGCGGAGGTGTGTCCGCTGGGGGCTGGAAAAGATCCCTCTTCCTTTTCTGTAGCCAGTGGAGAGCTGTGATGTCTGACCCGAGATGGGCATAACTGGGTTTCAGAGAAACAGCACCCAGCTAGGGTAGTGGGTAACTGTGGCTTTGAGAAGTGTTGAGTGGTGTTGCAGGGTGGGCCGCCCCCTTTGCAAAGGGGTCAGCGTCAACACAGTCCTGCTGGCTCCAGGACGATAAACTCAATGCCCGGAGGAAGCTGCCAGGCACCCAGGGTTTAGATGGAAAAAACCCGTTCTGCGGCAGGAAGAGTAAGTCCCCTTAGAGGGTGAAAACAGAGACATCTGGAAGCAAAACAGCAACAACAACCCCCCAAAATAAACAAACGAACAAAACCCTTTAATTTCTTAAAGTTTCACTTAACGTATTAATGTTTATTAACATTTATTTAATGTTTTAGAAAAGTAATTTGAAAAGTAAATCATCAAATCCGTTCTCCTCCCGTACTCTCGAATCTTCTGTTCTGCCCAGAGTATACCCTCTCAACTTCATGGGCTGTTTTGTATTTGGGTTCAAACCCAATGGGTTCCCTTAGTGCTACCTGTGTTCGCATGGGTGACAGATGTTAGACTGTCTACTGGAATCATGGGCAGCTTCAGGGACGCCATCCCTGAAGAAACTGACACTCCCTCATCCCCATGCTCCAGCAACCATCAGTTGTCATAGCTCCTCTGCCAGGGGCAGACTTCCTCACAAGCTCAAAGCCAGCAAGGTCTGCAGGCTTTCATAGCCAGGGTCAGTCCAGGAGAGGAGGGTCCCTCTTCATCCTGTCTGGGCCTTGATTCTAAAGAGTGACTTTGTGGAGTGATTTAACTGTTAGATACATTTTTAGTTAGAAAACGCACTTGCATTCAAACCATGGAAAGGATTTAGCAATAGAAGCAATGAAAGCTTCTCCATCCCATCCCATCCCATCCCCACCCCACCCACCTCCTTCACTGCCCCAAGGCTTTGTTGCTGGTAGAAGAATACTCCTATTTTATTTCCAGATCAAGGAGGTGTCTCAGAGGTGCACACTGTTGTGGGTAGGGGTCACACCCCCTCTTTGGCCCTCATTTGTTTCAGAGTTTGTAAACCCAGAGTTTCTTCCTATCCTGCCTATTCACGGTGCCATCAGGAGGGCTGTGATGCGTCATTAAACAAGCATTTATAGCTCGCTCACGATGTATCTGCAATGGCCAATTGCAAGTGTTCACGAGCAGAAAGTCATATTCAACAGCAAGGTGGCTTCTCTCCCTAACTACTTGGTACACTTCAGAGCATTTAGCGGGAGCTCAAGGAAAAGACATTTAACAATTGTCCCCTGGAATCTGAAGACTATATATACTCAATTTGCTCTGTAAGCAAAAGGAAACATGCTGCACCTCCAAGATGTGTTGAAATATTGTGATTTACAGTGTGAACGTATTTCCTTTGACTTAACATTATTAATCCAGAATTTTGCACTCCAAAAGAGCAAAATATAGTAACTTCAGGGGGATTGTCACAAACGTGTTTCTAAGCTAGGAAGTGCTGGCCAGAGTGGGGATATATAGGTTATATAACAGGAACACACTTCTCTGTGTGTTTGTCATATAAATGGGGTGGCTTATTCTACTTTAACTTGAGAACTTAACCATAGTCAGATGCAAGGTAGACTTTGTATGTAAAAAGGCGCTACCCAACCATAAATCACTAGAAAAAGAGAAAAGTGTGTATTGGTTTAGAACTATTTTGCATGAATATAACTAGAATCCTGGAGAAGTAAATACATGCAATTCCTCAGGCAGTTGCTATAGAACTAGACTCTAGTCCAGTGCATAATGCTAACTGTAGAGTCCAGACAAACATGAAATAAAGAAAACCAGGCTGGAACATTTCCATGTCAAAAAAACTTTGGAGAAGAAATGAGTGAATAAGCCTTGGGAGGTACAGTTAATGTGGAGAATTTGTTTACTTTCTCCTTGCTGAGGGAGGGACACCTAGGGAAGCAGTTTGCTGACATTACAGCCTCTGTGATGGAGTCTATGTGGACAGTCTGGGTAGGGCATGGGTGTTTCAGGAGGAGGGGTGGGACTTCCTGGAGAGGAGGCATAGGAGGTCATGGTAGAACAAGGAAGGATGTGGTTTGGGGGCAGATGAAGAAGACTGTCCTGCACTAGGGATACCTTTTAAGAAAACACTAAGAGGAATTGCTGAACACTGGGCTTTAACTGTATTTTCTCTTTCCTTTCTGCTTTGAGAAATTATAAAAGCTGAGTCTCTCCCCCCCCCCCAAATTAACCAGTAGCTAACTGCTTATTCAGGTCTGAGGCTAGAGAAACCCAGTCTGATGGCTCCCAATGAACAATATTTTAAAACTCCAACTTTATCCTTCTTTTATAGCATGTCTCAGTGGAATCAAGTCCAACAATTAGAAATCAAGTTTTTGGAGCAAGTGGATCAATTCTATGATGACAACTTTCCTATGGAAATCCGGCATCTGCTGGCCCCGTGGATTGAACATCAAGACTGGTAGGCTAAGACGGATAGATGCTCTGTGTCCTAGCCACATACATGTGTTCTATGGTCTGCATTCGTTGAGGTTCCATATATAATATGTGCCCTCAAGGTTTTAGAAATCCTCCTCAAAGGTGAATTTTGTTTCATCCACTGTAGGTGAAAACTTAATAGAGTTAGTGCATTGTCTCTAAGTGTCTACCATCACAATTGCCTTAGTTACTATTCTATTGCTGTGAAGAGGCACCATGACCAAGAAGACTCTTATAAAAGACTTTAGTTGGGCCCTTGCTTACAGTTTCAGAGGCTTAGTCCATTATTATCGTAGCAGGGAGCATGGTGATGTATAGAGCGCTGGAGCAGTAGCTGGGAGCTACATTTTGCTCTATAGGCGGCGGGGGTAGGAGGGGAGAGACAGACAGATAAGAGAGGTGGGGGGGGGAAGGCCTGGCTTAGAGAAGGCCTGGCTTAGGCTTTTGAAACTTCAAAGCTCACCCCAGTGACACTTTCCTCCAACAAGACACCTCCTAACCCTTTCAAATAATGCTTTTCCATGGGATTAAGCATTAAGTGTATGAGCCTATGGGGGCCTTTCTTATTCAGACCACCACACCAATGTTTTAGGCATAAAAAGTCCCACAGAAACAAACCCATTAATATCAGTTCTGCTATCATAGGCTCAATGCCAGAAAATATTCTTTTTAGGAATCCCTTTCTACCTTCAGTGGGAAATATTCACCTCTCTCAAAAATACCATGTCCTGACTCACCCCCCTCGTTCCTTTTTTTTTTCAACAAGCTTCTTCCCTGTCCCTGGCAGCCTCTAACTTATTAGGATTAAAGCAAGATGAAGGCAAGCAACATGTTCAGCATTTACCATACCAAACTTTGTACATGAGAAATAAATCAAAACCAGCTTTTCTATATGAGTATGAAACTGTCCAGTTAATAAACTTTTTGCAAAGCTGTTTCCCCTTTATAACTAAATTTTGCTTTTTGCTTCAGTCATCTTTTCTATTGTGTCAAAATATAAACCACAGAACAAAGGATTTTAACCACTCTGAACTGTACAGTTTACTAGCAGTAACCGTGTTCTCATGGTTCTGCAGTTATCACCACATCTGCAGTATGAAGTCCTCTCTGTCTGAAATTCTGGCTCATTAAATAGTAACCTTGCTCTTCACAACTCAGGTCCCATCTCTCTCTCTCTCTCTCTCTCATATATATATATATATATATATATATATATATATATATATATATATATCTCCTCTCCTACAAATCTGAGTACAGGAGGTACTGTGTATGAAGGAACCACATACATTTCCTTCTGTGGCTGACTTATTTCCCTGAATGTAACATTTTTCAGATTTATTCTTGTCATTGCATATACCAGAATTTTATTCAGAGTTGGAGCTGAATAGTATTGCCCTGTGTGGACACACTACATGTGGACACACTACCTATGGTCAGAACCATGTACATACTACCTATGGTCAGAACCTTGTTTCCACTGATGGATATTAGTTATTCTACCTTTAGGCCATTGCCAATGCCTGGTCTCATCCTGGCTGTTTGTGTGTAGACCCAAATACAGACCTGTTGAGTCAGCAGGCAATTACATGTACTATAAGTAGCTGTTAAACTTTTCACACTGTTTGTACCACTTTGCATTCTCATCAACAATATGTAAAGGTTTCAATTTCTTACTATTCTTATCAAGACTTATTTTCTGATTTTTGTTTTGATATTTTTAAATAATAGCCATTCCATTGAGAATGAAGTGGTATCATATTGTAGTTTTGATTTATAAAGCTCTGATCATTAGTGATGTTGAAGTTCGATTTAACTTTTAAAACACTTAAATGTTTATCACTGTGGAATAAGTCTGACATTTAAAAATGTATGTATATGGTAAAGAAGTAAATATTTTATTAATTGTTTCTTATAAGTACTAACACCTTGGCATTTTTATTTAATTTTAGGGAGGTGGCTTCTAACAATGAAACTATGGCAACAATTCTTCTTCAAAACTTATTAATACAATTGGATGAACAGTTAGGTCGTGTTTCCAAAGAGAAAAACCTGCTATTGATCCACAATCTCAAAAGAATTAGAAAAGTTCTTCAGGTAAGAATGCATTTCTACTTTTCAAAAAAAAAGGAATGTGCAAGTCTTAAATTTGGGATAAAACTTGGATATGTACCCTTAAATTACTTTCAAAACAGGTTTAAAGATAGAATTGTTTCTTCATCATTTAATTTTTTTCTGCTTAGTTACTTTTTGTTACTATATTTGTTTTCAATACAATTTAGCCTAAGATTCTATGAAAGAAGTCGTGTGTGTTACTCATCTGGCTTATTTCCTAATTATCACCAAGTTTTATATCATGAAAACAAATTCAAACCAGCAGCTATTCATGGCTGTCCTCTGACCATTCCGTGTCTTCATCTCTTTCATACATTGTTTCATACTAACAATGAGTTAGTATTCTCATCCGTAAATGTAAGCATACACATGTTATAATTGATAAATAATGTTGATAGATTATTTTTAGCCTACATTCCAAGAGTCAATAAAGATGAATTGAGAATAAGTCTGTGGGTTTTAACAAACGTGATGTCATTCATCTACCATTACATTTTACAGAAGAGTTTCAGAGTACAGAAGTCTCCTGTGTTTTAGTCATTTTCTCTCCTGTCTTTACACTGAGTGCCTGAAATTAGTGGCTGTTTCCTCCCTGAAGTTTGCCTTTAATGTCTTACAGCTAGGAACATACAGTTTGTGACTTATTACTGGCTTCTTCCACCTAGTGGCAAGTACTTAAAGGCCCTATTTCATGGTGTGATAGATTAATCACTAAATAATATTTCAGCGTACTTATTTTATTCATTCTAAATAAAGCTACTGTTAGGAATTACATGTGGGTTTTTGCAAGGGTCTAAGTTTTCATTTCATTTGAATCATTACCCAAACCATGATTTTTAATGTTGCTATCCTTGGACTTCCTAGTTATTTTTATTCAACTTCCTTTCTTTCTCCCTCAGATAGAATGAAGCATATTCATAATAAAAATGGAAACAACATAAAAAAACACAAAAAGCTAGAAACTATCCAAAACCTAATTCTTGGAAATAAGCATGCTAATATTTGATGAACATCAATGCAACACTTATTTATACAAGTGTATTTTCAGATAGCTCAATAAATTGCAACTACCACCTGTACAACTTTCTGTGCAACTCCTGTCTCCATACAATGCACACACACACAGACAAAAGGTGGGACAGTTACTCTCCCTCTCCTTCTCTCTCTCTCTCTCTCTCTCTCTCTCTCTCCTCTCTCTGTCACACACACCACAAACTCTCCATGTCCTTTCCTTTCCTTCATCTTTCTATCAATGTGTGGTTTTTTTGTTTGTTTGTTTTTTTTGTTTTGTTTTGGGTTTTTTTTTTTTTTTGGCTGTCCTTGGAACTCGCTCTGTAGACGAGTCTGGCCACCAACTCTGCCTTCCTCCACCCAGTTCTGGGATTAAAGGCATGTGCCACAATGTCTGGCCTGTAATTTCTACTTCTATTTATTTCTTGTCTGAAGAATATAATCTCCAGCAAGGGAAGGGCTTTGTTTCCTTTACTCTTATATTCTTAATGCCTAGGCACACAAAAGGTGCTCAATAATTTTCATAAATAAACACTAATATAAGATTGTTTGGAGTAAAAGTAGAATAGTAATATAAATTCTTCTGAAAAAATTTTATTTGTATTGATGGACTATTAAAAGTTGTTTATCAAATAAGTGTTTCCTCACTTCCACAAAGATTTTTTCCCAAAGCATTTCCACTTAAGTTAACAAAATTATCAAAAGCATAAAATGGTGAAATATACACACTATCTCAAACTATATTTTGATTTTTAAACAGTTATCTGTTGACTATCTTTAAGATAGTAAATGTAGTAAATGTGAGGAAATTGTGGTCTACCTGTCTGTCACCCTACCTCTGTGTTTATTAGTTATACTTCCCCATCCTGCTGTCAAACTGCAACATGTTTTCTTTAATTTCATATTTTATTGACTTCAATGAACACAAGAACTTTTTACTATTAGTCCTTCATTCATAAGATTAAAAAGTTTATTCTTAATAGCTTAGATTTTATCTAGTTTTTTTTCAAGAGGGTCTAAATGGTAATATATTTGAGAACTTTTATGTGTTTAATCTTTCAAAGTAACTATTTATTCATTGTGAATGACTTTTTATGTATGTTTGTGGATCAAGTGTGCCACTCATGTGTGTGGAGATCAGAGAACAACTTTCAGGAGTTGATTCTTTCCTTCTACCTCATGGCTTTCAGGAATTAAATTGAGGGTGGCAAACTTGTCTATTAATGCCTTTACTCTTTTTAGCCCAGGTCTGGTGCTTTCAGGGACACTGTGACTGGGTATAAAAACCTTAGGTTGCTTTCTGTACAGATACTGAGGAAATGCTAACTTATCAGATGTTTGCTTATAGTTAAGATGATCATGATGCTGCTTCAATTAAGCTAGTATAAGTACTGATCATTTGAAGAGATGCAGCATGCAATAATCAGCCTCAAAGATGCACAACTGCTATGTACAGCACTACTTATAGTGAAGGTTAAAAAAGAATAGCATGCCTTCTCACAAATCTACATAATAAACTGGCCTTTCATGTGTGCTGGTTCCCTGAGTTGATTACAATTGTTTAAGGACCATTTAGAAAAGGCATGAATCTGAATGGACAAACTTGTTAGTTCAGTCTGAATATTAAAATGAGACCATGCAGTTTAGCATTTGTCTACTATTTCTAATACAAAACACCATGGATGGTTTGCTAGAGCTTTATAGATGTTTTATTTATCTGAAAAGTCATGTAATTCCTTCTTAACTCCAATCTGCTCCTTCCCCACCGAGAGAATGATATAAAGTGAGTATTTACCAGTATCTTCTGTTTTGTTGCTGTTTTATCTTGTATGTTTGAATCCCTAAAGAATATAGAGGTTTGCCACCTATTGAATCTCATATAAATGAGATCACACTGTATTTACACTTCAACAATGTTTCATGGTTCCCAAGATTCATCAGCACCAACCTTGGTTGCAATACTCTCTTCATTTTTAGTCCTATACTGTATTCCTATATATAGATATATCAAAATTTGTCTATTTTATAGTTGGTAGACAGCTGACTTATTTACCATGTTCCTTTTCAACATCAAATATCATTGCCCTGAACAGCTTGCATGTGTCCCTTGGTATAGTGCAAGAAATTCTCTTCAACATACATCTAGTGGTACAGTTCCTGAGCTATGCAGTTTGTATGTATTAAATCATGCTGAATGTTTGTGGTATATGTGTTTTCTTTTTATAGATGCATTTAAAATTATTTTAACAGATACTTTTGTATATTTCAATCTGTAATTCTTTCATTGTATGTAAATAATCCATAATGCCATCCTTGACTACTTCTGCCTAGATAAACTTTAAAATGATCCAACTACACACAAATACTGTAAAATAAAGCATAAACACACCTACCAAATTTAGAGAATTATAGGATAGTATTTAAGAAGCAGCTATAAAGTTACTGTAAGTGGCAATAGGCAAAATGATTTCCATACTTGGCACTAGAGAAAACTATATATATATATATATATATATATATATATATATATGTACATATACATATATATACTATACAGAGAGAGAGAGGAGAGAGAGAACAAAATCAGAAGCATACAAAGAAAAGAGACTGGATGCTAAGCTGGAAAGAAAACAGTTTCTTTACAAAACTAAAATACAAAGTCTATCAACTTAAAATTCTACCTAAGTTCTTAGAGGATTGAAATTTTCCACAGAAATTTGTTTGATCATCAACTATTTAATGAATACTGGTTGTGTACCTCACCACTTTTTAAGTTAATTAGGGGATGTCATGGTCTTGCTGTTTAAAGAGTTCACTCTTTCTGTGTTTTGGTTTTTAAATTTAGATGAAATTTTGTGGGTACTCTTCAGGTCTGAGATGGGGGCAGCGGGCAGGGGAATCTGCTCTGATGAGAGAATCTTTTTTCCTGTCAATCAGAAAGTTCTGTTTGTAGTCTTGGTGTTAGTTCTGTGGTTACTAATCCCACCACCTGCACGGTGCTCTTCACAGGCCGTGGTGAGAGGCTGAAACTCAGTGGGTGAGGTGACACCAGAAAGCGTAACCTTTATAATACCTGGCCTACCCTCTGCCTCACCATGTCCTCTGTGTTAGAGGGACTTGAGTGTGCTTGAATAAAAATAAAAATGTGCCCTTAGTTCTCTTAATGTGACCAGCTGAGTAAGAGACATGCTTGGCAATGCCAAGAAGATAAAACAAATCAAGAAATATTGCTTAACATATGGAGCCCCCCTGAACTCGTCAGATCTTAATCCTCTAACCCACTGCTTTCTCAGTTCACTCCTCTTCCTTCCCCTCTGTACAACACACACGCATGCGCACGCACACGCTCACGCACATGCGCGCGCGCGCGCACACACACACACACACACACACACACACACACATACAAAGAGAAAGAGAGAGAAAGTAAAGAGATAGCCACAGCCTAAGCCTGAAAGGAAAGTGCAGCCACTTTGTGTAAATCTATGAGTAGAAAGTTTACACTGTCAAAACCTCCAAGTAGAAGGTTCTGTATTCCCTTTTCATTCTGCCGCTGAACAAGTCTGCCAATTTGGCAATCAGTTCACAGAGCTGAGTTACTTCCTCAGCCTGACAAACGCTTCCTCGAGGTCTGTCATCTAGACAGCTGTCTGGTACCCACCTCACAGCACTCAGACACCTGGGTGTTGTTAGTTGTCAGGACAGTGTGGCCTGATTTGAAACGGGATAGGTGGATGGTGTACTGTTAAATTCCTTGTTTCAGGAATTTAATCACACCAAACTGGAATCCAACACCAGTGACTGATGTTTCTGAACAACTCAATTTCCATTCATGAATTTCTTTATGCGCATTCCTTCAGCCCTTTATCCTCTCTAAGACAGCTTGGATAGCTCTTTTGAAAAATTGAATCTTGGGCTGTAGGGGTTCAGTTCTCAGCACTTACATGATGGCTAACAATCATCTATAACTC